TACTATAGATTTTTATATTAATTTTGTTTTGAGTTATTATTATTAAGTTTAATTTGAATTAAACTCAAAAAGTAAAGTTATAGAACTAAATAAAACTATGTAAGTTATTCTATAATAAAAGTTGTTATTTATGAAAATATTAAGTATTTTGATTTAAATATTATTGTTAATATTCTATATTTCATAAATAATAACTTTTATTATAAGCATCTTATATAGGTTTGTAATTCTTTTTAAATTTATAATATATATAATATGTAAAAATAATTAGTTTATAAAAATCAAAATATTTTAAAAATTAATTTTCAATATATTATATATATGTATATTAAATGTTATTAAATAAAATTATACAAGAATTACAAAACTATATAAAGTACTCTATTTTATAATAATAAAATTTTAAAAATTGTAAGTAAAATTGTAGTTCTAGTTTAAGCTACAATTTTTATTAATATACTTGAATTAAAACTCTTTAAATTCATGTTAGGCAGTTTAGCTTTGAATTCAAACTGAAAATCTGAATTCGAGTTCAAATTAAACTTGAACTTTTTTTCAGAATACTAATTAAACATTTTGATACAATTTATTTGAATTAATATTCTGACGTAGCTTCTTTTTAATTCAAACTTAATTTTTTGCTTTTTTATCCGTAGAAGCATTATTGATTTGAAATTGTAAGCAACGTTTTTCTTCAGACATATATTTGATCAAATTCGCGTAAAAACCATTTTTGCGACAATTCTCCCAAAAAACCCGTTGTATAATCGTCCAATTTTGCTCTTCCAAAAGCGGTGATTTGGGGAAGGTCGACCGAATTGTTCGCTAAAATCCCAAGTGCATTATAGTGCATGTATAAAGATCACATTCATCGCTAACTTCGGAATATTTGTATTGCAAAAATACAATCAAAAGTTCATTTTGAAACATAATAAAACGTATTTTTAGAGATTTGTGTGTGTGTGTATGTATAAAAAAGTTCTTTAAATATATTTATTATATATATCACAAAAAAAGATACGAATAAAATAGTTCTGTAATATCGGGAGAGATATGTATACATATAAATTAAGTGCATATATATAGTTATCTTTTATTCCATCCAGCAGAACTTTCATTCCATGAACCATAACTCCAGTTTATCACTGCCTGAATGCATACTCATAGCAGTTCTCCAATTAATTTCATCACGAATCAAAAATAATTCATGATTAAAAATTCTGCTGTTAATATCATTATTACGATTTTTAATACTACAGTTATTAATCTTGCCATTATTCTTGTTTTTTAAGCGACAAGCTATTTCCTTGATTTCTTGAATTTCATAAGACTCTTGAATCATGCTTTTCATCTTATCAAAAGATGTTGAATATGCCAACGGGAAAACGCGTATATCCTCGTCTTTTTTGTTGTTGGATTTCCAGTTATAGTGAAATTTTATGATAATGTTTCGAGGTGTGGTATTGTTTTGGTAAGTGTTGTTGTCACTGTCCTAATCCAGAATGAACGCAAGATAATTAATGGATTGACGGAATAAGAAGGAAGTTTTACAAATTCTTGTTCAAAATAATTGAATATTTGCCTCGCTTTCTCCAGTTGAGAAAATAGGTTTCGTGTCATTGTGATCATTTTCGGTGCTAGAACTAGGTGCACTTCGCGATTCACGAGCTTTGCTGATTTCAAATGCAATGTGGAGTTTAGTGAGCACGATTTTTTCAATTGGAGTTTTTGCTTCGGCGACAAATCGCATGGTAGACGCGTTTTCTGTTGATTGCGGAGTATTGAAGAATGAATATATTTGAGATGTAGTAGAATATAAAAGTATCGTTTTGCTTTACCAATTATCGTAATGAAGTTTTGACGATCCTGAACTACATCAAGAATCTTATGCTGAATCTATTATCGTTATTTTAAAATTTAATGATATTATTTTCAAAGGACATTAAAGATTTATTAGAAACAATAAAATCGGGTACAAAACCAATTTCTTTTTATCACGATCAAGACACAACACCAAAGTATCCGATCCAATCTGATGAATCTCATGGATCGCATCCAATGGAATATAAAACTTTACGCTGTTCTGATGCATCGCGACTGCGATAACACCATTCAAATAACGATATTGTAGATTCGCGCAATCGTCAGGATTCTTCGAGTAAGGCAGCATGTTCTGCGAGCCTAAATGAATTTCTTGTAATTTGAACGGGATGAATTCGTGTTTGGCGGTAACAGCGTTAATGGCGTAATGCGAGAACGGTAATGGGGTTGTTAGATTGACGCCATAATAGAAATCTTGTTGCTGTTGTTGAAGGTGCATAGGTCTCATGAGATCAAAAGGATTGCGACGTTGAGGTGGGAGATACACGTGTTGTGGCAGTGGTTGTAGTTTTTTGAAAGTTGTATCATTAGCGAAATGATTATTGTATTTGGTGTAACTCGGATAGACAATCTTTCCTATAATTCGTGAAAAAGGTTTTTATAAAAGAAACCCAAAATGAAAAATATATGAATGCGTATTTTTTACCTTGTCCCGTATTATGAAACGCATCCAATGAGTAAAATGGACGATATTGATTATGTTTATTGTTGATATAATTACTACCAAAATTCATATTCATTAATTTATCGTAATTATTTCTTTGGAAGTTAAAACGTAAACTTTTATTTTGGTAAAAGTGCAAAATTACTTTTATAATGGCTGGGCTTTGGCCTCTTTATATATTGTGAATTATGTAGTAAAATAAAATTTTGGTTCGAATGATATAGTTATCGATTTCGTGTTATCAAACATTTTTTATATATAGTTAAAATTATTACAACTTTTTAATTATCTACGAGAGAAATTTTAAACAGCGACTGAAGAAATATTTGATAATAAATTAAAAAACATAACTATTTTTTAAACGTGACGCGAAAACAATAAAAGTCATTCGAAAAGAATTATTACATTTTTAATATAGATAAATTTACTCAATAACAAGTCAATTTTTCAAATAACAGTTTTTCTCGCACTGATAAAAACTTATAAATGATGAGATTCATCATAAATAAAATTATGTCACACTGGTATTACCCAAAGTTACGTTACTATCTCAACATCGATCTACAAGTTAGGATTCAACATGCTGTCTCGTGGACTATTGTTAATCTACCTTCCCTTAATACTATCTTGTCTTTTAGTACTACTAACGATATCTTCGTCAATACCCGCCGTTGACTCTGCAAACGTTATCTCTTTTTGTAAATGTGCTTGCACGAAGAACAAAACTAAAATAATACCTTTAGGTCAAGGAAAAGCAAAACATAAATTATGCGCCGATTGTAATAAACGGTTTTGCATTAAAACACTGGGAAAAGATTATTGTGTCGGTGCTAAACCTGGGACGGGTATCGGGGACGATATAGAGTTTCCGGAAAAGTGTGGGGATCAGTTGACTGCGACTTGTTTTCGTGAGTTATCGGATAGTTTATTAATTTTGTTGGTTAGGAGATTGCTTTTTATTCAAACATTCATTTGATTCACAATAAATTATAGAACGTGACTCTTATAAAGATGAGATAATTGTGTGGCTTTATATCGCATTAACAGCAAGTCTGCTTGTATTCGCGTTATTGAAACCATTAGTAAAGGGTTGGTGGACGGTTTGTATTTTATTATGCCGCGACTCTCTTTTTGGATTCGTTTCTTCGTTCATACGATCGAGATCTAAAATCTTTTTTTTACATTTCATTTAATAGCGGCCAAACACACGAAACTTTTATACAACGATGCCAAACAGTTAAATGGCATGATATAATGCTTTAACAGGAATAATTATTTTTTCAATTAATTTATTGATGTTTAAATATTAATATTAACGAAGCGTGTTGGGTTATATTTAAAATGCCGAGTACAAATTGATAGCAAGAATATTGCTATAATATTTATTAAAATATGTAATTCAAGTTATCTGAGAAATATATATTTGAAAATCCAGCCAAGAAGCTTGAATACTCCGAATATTGAATATAAGAAAAAAGAAGTCAATAATATATAACAAAAGATTTAATAGTAATACATATGCATTTATTACAAAATAACTTTATTACTTTATTATCAAGTTGTAGATAAATGTTCAAAAGGAATGCAACTATTAATAAAGTTTAATAAATATGAATTTTTTCTATATGTATAGTTAATAAATTGAAAATTGAAATTTTCTCTGTATAATTTTACAAATAAATATTCAGAAATTGTAATTAATAAAATATATATTTTCATTTTATATAAAAATATTTAGTTATAATTTTTGATATATATATATTTTACTAATTATAATTAGTAAAAATTCAAATATTACATTAATATGATTATTACTATATTAAGTTTATAAATAATTAAAATAATTCATTTAAAAAAAATTTAAAAACTTGAAAAAACATATATTAAAAATAGAAAATTTTATTCAAAAATAAAAGTTAATAATTATTTCTAAAACTTTTTATATTATTTTATTATTATGTTATATTTTTATTTAATATAAATAAATCAAGATTTTTCTTTTTTTATATAATAAAATTTATAAAATAATAAAAATAAGATGGAATTTTATTTAAAAAAAATTATTTATTAATATTTATTTAAGATATAAATCTTTTTATATTGTTATAATATAGATTTTTATATATATATTTTATTAATAATAGTTATTTTATACTCGCATTTTTATTGGATAATTATTTAGTTATATTTTATTGGATAATAATTAAGATAGTATTATTGGTAGATATTTTTAGATAGTTTTACAA